CCAACCTTAGTGATTCTATGATTCTAAGATCCTTCTCTCTGCCTCTTGGAGCTTCTTCCCCTGCATTGAGCTGCTGCTTGACCCCATAACTCTTTAACTGGGGTGAGGTGAGGCTTTGGGACATCCCTGGTTGTTGTCCCCTCTGTGCTGGCTGGCCAGAGCCGCAGCAGCGTGTTCTGCCGCGTACCCCGCTCTGTCCCTGTCTCAGGCAGACACCGCGGAGCGTGCTCGGCTGCACCATCTGCGTCGTTACGCCTGGGCGCGTTTTGGGCCTCCTTGGTGGTTAACAGGAATAGATTTTAATTAAAAGCTCATTATCGAGTTGTCGTGTAGCATTAGTAAATAAAAATAACTTTTACAGCCCTGTCTCGTGGCTCGGTAAGTGGCAATTGCAAGTATTTGACATCACTTTATTGTTCAAAAAAATGAAAGAATATTGCAGATTTGATTCCCTGTTTGCTCCAAATGGGCTTTAAATCCAAATAAACGCTTGGCTGTGGCACTCCTGTTATTATTCAAGTCCAGAAGGAGAAATAAATGCGGTCGACAGTCTCCAAGTTATCTCTGTTGGAGCTGGGAGCTGTTGTGGGTGGGTTGTTTGGGTGTCTCCTGGTGGGACGAGGAGCAGACACAGCCACCCGTGGGTTATTCCCAGGGGTTAGGGGATGCTGGGCTCAGCCCCTGCCCTCTCCCTTCTGCTGTCTCCCTGTTCCACTGCAGAGGTGTCACATCCCCTTGTTCAGGCTTTCTTCTAAATGAAAATAACATCCCGGGGTGGGACTGAGCACGGCTCCAGGAGCTCGGTCCCCTTTTCCCATCCCGGGGTGGGACTGAGCACGGCTCCGGGAGCTCGGTCCCCTTTAACTCGTGGTCTTTCAGGCGGTCACGGCTTCACGACGGGGGCTCTGCGCTCCCTTCTCATCTCTAGCACAGACCTAACGCTTCATAAAATGATCTGTTATGGTGAAAAGACATTTTCGACGTTATTTAAGGACAAATTGGTGCAGGAAGATATTTTCTAGACATTAGTCATTTCTTCAAGGTCGTGCTTTAGCCCAGTGCCGTGCCTCCCGCCGAGCAGCTGCGGTGGGTGGGATGTGGAGGGACCATTGGGGTGGGTTTGCAGCATCCGTTTCAGGGGATGCAGCGTGCCCGGGCCGAGCTGCCTCTGTGTCCTCCGGTCGCTTGTTTGTGCCCTTCCTCCCCAGCCTGACCGCAGGGATGGCTGAAGCTCCCGTGGTTTGACGAGACGAGATCTCCATCCGCCACCCCGGGACGGAGCTGAGTTCCGGAGCCTGGGCACCTCCCTCTTGTCTGAGGAGCGCTTGTGTGAGGAACCTTAAATGGTTAAAAAATCTTTTTTTTCCCCCTTTTCCACATAGCTGGCGTAAATTCAGTCGGACACCGTTGGAAGAGAAGCCCCAGCCTGTGCCGGTGGGTTTTGGGTGGGCTTCTCCCTGCAGACCCCCTGCTCAGCCCTCTCCGTGCCGGGCGGTTCCACCCTCTCGTGCCCGTTTTTTGGAGCGCTGGGCGTCCCTCTGTGTCACTCCGTGCCCAGGGGATCTCAGAACCCTCCCGCTTGTTTTTGCGGCTGGTTTATCAACTCGTTAGCTAAGGAGCGGTCGTGAAACTTGACAGAAAGGTTCTGCGCTGAAATAAATTGTCCGCTTGCCTGCTAGTTGGAAATGACTGTGGGTGCGGGTTAATAAATAATGCAAACCCCGTTAATAGATGCCAAATGCGGTGTCTCTGCTGGAGAAAAAGATGATGCCAATAACCCGGACTGGAAGCACTCTGCTCCAGCCACTGGCTGCTGGTTTTTAAGTGTTTAATGCTGTTTACTCAAAACGCTCTGCTGATAAATTGTAAGCGCTCTCTACTTAGTGAAGAACATAAATTCCAGCTCTGCGGAATAAACGCCTCGCAGCACTTGCCCTGGTTGTAAAGCGCCTCGTCCTCGTATTCCTGCAAGGAATGGATCCGACAGCCCGTGTTGCGATGGTGCTGGCGGGGGAACGAGGGCGAGAGGCGGTGGAGGATGCTGAGGCCAGGCGGTCACCTCCCACTCCGTCCCGCGGCTCCGGCTGCGCGGGGGGAAGGTTCTCGGGATGCAGGTTTTTATCGGGAGAGTGAGCTTTACGACAGCATCGCGCCAGCCGCTCCAGCATATGGCTGAGAGGGGATTTTTCTCCTCCAAGCCTCTGTGGTTTGTTTTCAGGAGCTCGTAAGGGCTTGTAACATCGTCTGTGTGCTCCAGGTGTCCCTTCAGCGCAGAGCTGGGAATGGTGGTACGGGCAG